TCTCTCTCTCTCTCTCTCTCTCTCTCTCTCTCTCTCTCTCTCTCTCTGTCTCACACACACACACAGTGCCTATGTTCATAGCTGAGTCTTTTCTTTTACCTCCCAACTAATAAAATCAAGAGGCTGCAGGGCGGCCGAGCGGCACAGTTTGATGTCCTCAGCAGGATACAGGGAGTCAGAAGTGACGCTGTAAATCCAGCGTGGGGCTTCAACACTGTGTGAAGTGTGGCCCGAGCTGAGGAGAGTTCCCTTTGATGCAAATGCAGTATATTAATGGGAAAAAGCATTCACTTTTATTTGTCTGTACTGTCTGCCACAGCAAGGCTGCCTCATTTAGCTTGGGCCGACATGAAAATACACAGAGAAGCAATCTGTTGCAAATTAGCACAGCTCGCCTTTCATTTACTAGCTAGTAATTGGAAGGGGTTAAGAGAATGGAGCTTTATCAGATCATGGGAGTGTATCTTGCCCACAGGGGCCGTAAGTTTTTCCTGAATTTCTCTGGGAACTCTGAGACAAGAATCCTTCCTAGATGTTGACTTGATCCAAAAGAAAGGACCGACAGCTGTGAGCCAGGCACATTTTGTGGGCTTTGCAGAGCTGCTCAGGAGGCATCCGTGCCTCATCCAGTCTTACCTTTCTTTAGATATGTTCTTACTCTCTCGCTTCCAAATGGTCTTGAAGTCGCTGCAGAACTCAAACCACACCATAAACACATAGCTGGGGGTGACCTCCTTCTCTCCAGTCTTTGGCTTCATTCCAAAATATCCCACCGTTGTTTCAAAACTGCAGAAAGTAGGGGGAAACATGGAGGAAATGAATGACTGTCAACACTAAAATCCATTAGGACGCTGAGAAAGGACACTGTGGGCAGCTTCCCACATGTCTGTTCCCCAACACAGGAGTCGGGGCTCACAGTTACTGGAGATTACTCAAAACCTTGAGAAGTCTAAATACAATTGCCAATAGATTCATCATGATTGAGAAAGCTACTGGGCACATCTTATCTGTGTGAACTGAAGAACAGCACAATTCCAGAGGTTATGTAACTTAAGCTTAAGTTTGTTCTCCATTTTAAAGTGCAAGTCAATTTCTCTGATATTTGCTCTGCATTTAATGACTACATGTCAGTCCATGACATATTGACTGTCCCAATAATAGTAGTCAGTTAATAGTAGTAGATGGCCAATTGAGAACATGAAAACTCGGGATGCTTTTGTCCTCTCTGCATTGGCGCAATCATTTGGCATCTTACTCTGATTGTTTCAAGAAAAAATAAGAAATTTACACTATATGGCCTTTAACTTGACCATGATGGAAGAATATAAACCACCAACATACAATGAATAAACAAATATATAGATAAATTTTAAAACGATAAAAAAAGAGACATCCTTGTGAGCCTAGCAAGGGTTTGAAGAACAATCTCCAATCAGGTTAGAAACGAGCTCAGGTTCTTCTAAGGAAGGCTGTTAGATAATGCCATAACCTGCCCCATGAAGGCACACTGCCCACTCGCCTGCCTGGGCCTCCCAAGCAGCCCTTCATGGAGGCACTGGCTTGGCAGCGATTTATAGCTCTGAACTGAGTCTTTCTCCCCTCGCCCTCACCCACCCCAAGCTTCACAGGCTCATTTGCCAAGAGCAAGAACTCTTAAACAGCCCCCTTTCAAGGGTGTTGGAAACTAATCAAAGCAGGAATGGCCAGCCAGGTTTATTACTCAATGCTCTATCATCTGCTCAGGCATGGTGTTTTTTGTGGCCATCCTGAATACTGAGTTTCTAATGGGACTCTATTCAGTGGTGATTGTAAAACCCCGAAGCCCTGTGACTATTATAGAGCATACTTTCATCTCCTCCTCGGTTATTGGGCAATATGTATCTCATAAGGTTTTATCACATTTCACAGATGAACTGTTAATTGATTCCATGGCTACGATTAGGTGAGATCCAAGCTGGAGCTGCTGCTCCAAGTCTCATAAATTCTGTGTGCTTCTGTAAATAACAAATCTGTTTTTAATGCAAATTAAAACTACTGGCCAGGGAATTTGGCTCCTAGTTATTAAAAGACTACAAGTGTTTAAGTGGAGAAAGGCAATGACGGCAGTAATCTCTGAAGGACTTTCTAATAATTCCAAATGCACATACTTTGAAGCAAAACCAGTAATCAAAGAAAGTAGTGAAGTCTATTCTCTCCCTACACCTACAGCTGTCAAAATACTGACAAAATCAAATGAGTGTTCTACATCAATATACCCTTGAGTCATTCACCATGGAATTTATATTAATTGTAATATGAGGATATACACACACTTATACAACCAATAGAGGCAGGCTGAGGATTTCTTACTGAGGAATTGGGTTTGGAACTAGAGCTGCCAGGCAGCTTAACATTTCCAATATTCTCATTCTACTCTACAGATGAGACAATGGAATCCTGGGAAGACTGAATGACGTCATGCACTGTCAGAGCTGGGTCTCCATTCAGTTCCCGGCCCCCTGTGAGATGCACGTCCTGCTTTCCCCTTCGGTTGCTTATGGGCACCGACACAGGCACCTCCCACACAGAACACTCACTTCCTCCCCCCCTCCTTCAGATTCATATGTCATACATGAGCATGGGTCACTCCAGGAGAGCACACCACCATTTCTCCTCTTCTTTCCTTCTGTCCACTTTCTAAACATGAGCTTGTATGTACAGTGACACAGGAGAGGAAATATTTCCCTTTGTATCCGGAAGACTTATCTTCCTATCTCATAGCAGGGCGCAGTGTTGAGCACACATGACTAATTGCCCAGATTCCTCCATCACCTGAACACCTCTGCATTATCCAGAACCCACATTTGGACACACTAGACAAACTGGTGTCAAGTTAGAAGTGACAGAGATGCTGATATTTATCACAAATATGCCAGTGGCCTGGGAGTTTCTCTTTCCAAACCTCTGTCCTCCCAGTCACTTGCCGTGTGAGTGTGTGTGTTTTCAAGGGATTGAATTTGGGAGGCCTTGCTCACCTCTGTCAGAGGAGTTGAAAATGGAAAGACACACTGAATTTGATCTGCTTTGATGATAGCATAGCAATGCTGACAGACATAGCCACTCTGAGGAGGTGCCTGCCTCATTTGACCCCAGTGATTCCTTTCTATTGAAGAAAAGGCTCAGTGCTACACTGTGAACTCACCACTGTCTGATAATGTCCAGACTACTGCCCTCTCTAGCCAAAATGTTCTTCACAGAAACTCAGTTTTGGTTCACAGAACAGTGCACTGAAAACTTGAAATTTGGACAAGAAAAATCACTAATATTCAATTGCCAGGGGGATTCTTCTCCAAGAGACAGCAGACAAAGGATGCCGCATGCTTCTTGAAGTGTCCAAATCTCAGAACTTAACTCCCAAATAGCATTCAACTTTAAAAAAAGAGAGATTAATTTCTAATCATATGTTTTGTTTTATACCAACATCTTAATCTCACTTTAAAGTGGTCTCCAACTCTACTCCATTACATTTCCTCGTCTGATCTACATCCTTTTAATTTGGCCAAACATTCTTTTTTTTTTTTTTTTTTTTTTTTTAAAAGACAGATGACGACGATCCCAGAGCCAAAAAGCAAAGTGCTCTACACTTGGTGTGGAGATGCCAGAGCGGAACACTTCCCCTTACTGTGTTCTCATGTGTGCCTTCAGAAACTGCTTAGGGGAAGCAAATAGCCCTTAGCCTCAGAGTAAATTGTTTCTCTTGAGAATAAAACATAGGAATTTACTAAGTCTCACACGAATATTGCAACACTGACCACAACCTCCTTAAAGAGGACAAGCAAACAACCGTGGTTTCTACATTAAAGATGAGATCTGACATATTTCAAGTATGACCTGAAAGCTAGACTACCTTCACCACAAAGCCACGGAAAATGCTGACAACCCAAAGTTATGACTCCCTTAGCATGTCTAATGCACAGCAGCAGCCCGGGCCTGGCCAACGTGAGCCCCTTGCCCTTCAGCAAAAGTCTTGAAAAGGGATTAAAAGCTTGCTGTGCACCCCGGAAGCCGAACTGCAGCTTGGCCTGATACCAGCCTGCCCTTGTTGATGGTCTCCTCTCTGAGTGCTGAGTGTCTCTGACACTAATTTTACACACCAAGGAAAGAAAGCGTCATGTAGGGGTAAGTCCAACTGAGGGGAGCCAAAATCTGAAAGCACAAGCGTGTAATTGTCTGAGTTTTCGACAATTATCATGATAGGATGCTGCTCATGACTGGAGAACATGTCTGCACTTAGGAAACTACAAGACTGGTCCTTCATCTTGCTTTCATCGGCATCTTAATTTCGTTGGCAGATTAGGGCAGGAAGCAGGACTAAGTGCTGGCACCTGTCTCTGGGTTGTTAGAACTCTCCAGAATTGAGGCTTGAGCGAAGGAAAAGGGCTCATTCCTCCTTTAGGCATTCTTACTTATGTTCATCGCTGTGAAATAATTCTCAGCTATTTTGTAAAGCCTATTTTTTCCCTTAGATGCTATTTCCTAGCCCAATGCCCTCATTTAATTACCTGGAACTAAACTACCATCACACGTATACTCTAGTGTCTACTGAGAGAGAGAGGTCAGGAAGAGAAGCTAGACTCAAAGGAAGAACTCTAGGGTCTCTTCTGACTTCTGGTTCTGGTCAGAGTGTCTGTATGCAGAAGGTAGTCCCTATCTCCTTCTGTCCCTTGTCTATAAAAGCCTCTAGGATCTCAGCAAAGAAACTGAAGTAACTCTTCTATCTGTTTATTGAATTGGCCTAACCTAGTAACGACGCTGAAAGAAAGCAGCTCTCTTCCTAACTTCCATGAGCCAAGTTCAGGAGCAGAGTTGGGAGGAGAGACAATCGGATGGAATGGAATCATAGTATATATGACGGCAAGGGGGTCTCATATGGCTCACTGTTCACAGAGGTCTCAACAGACAGGACCAAAGCACTGGCTGCTCAATCACAGTGCACATGAGATAAGGTAGTCATACAAGTTCAAATGCTACAAGGCTCTATAAGGAGGTAGGATGTGCAAGAGTGACTGTCCAGGCCTTGTGAGGGAAAGGGGATGAGAGAAGAGCTGTGTGAGGAGAGTCTGGGAGGGAAGCAACTGTGACTGATCAGGAGGTAAAGTGAATAAATACATAAACTGGGGGGTGGGGGGACCTTTGGGTCTGCCACTTACTCCTGAGGACAGTTCAGATTGAGTTCTAGAGACTGATGGTTGCATAGCAATGGGAATATTCCCTATGATAATAAAAAGAGAGGATGCCTACTCTGTGAAAGAACGGAAACCAGCTCACAGCCTCTTACCTTTTCTGTGCATTCTCCAAGTGACTTTCTTCTATCCTGTGCTCTTTTTTGGCTGTGAAAGAGAAATAAGTATGATTTAAACCATTTTTTAAACATAATACCCCTTGTGTAATCATATAGTTTCTATCACATCCACTCATTATTACAGGAATTCAAGAGTGCATTCCTGTCACATGCCTCGAGACCAGATCCACTCCAAGACACTGCCTTCTTCAACATGGCTATAGCTAACCATCGTCAAATAATTCTGTTTTGTCTGGAACACTCTTGAGAAGGAAAGGGAATGATAACAATTACATCTGGAAAATTATATAAATTGAGAAAGTCCTGATCAATGTGCTTGCTAGAGCTATAGTTGGCCTCCCCATGGTCCTTACCATGTGCCCAGTGTATTCTCTCTCACCACAAACATGTTATAACAGTGTCCGCAGCAGCTCTGCTGGGGTTCAAAAACAAGAATCCTAGCATAGCCTCCCTCCCGCTCACAAGTGAGTGTCAGTGTGGTGTAAACCTACTGAGGTTTTTCTCGAGTCAACATTTTGTAAATGCACTGCAAAAGAAAGTATGTCAGATCACTGTGGAAATTAATGACACTGAGATATCATCATGAGCCCTGTGATTATTTAATAAGTTTTTGCTTTGAGTGTCTTACAAAATTTTCCAATTTGGAGACAGTATCATCATGTATGAAAACAACACTCATACTTTTAAAATACCCAGGAAAAAAATAAGTAGACCACAGTATAACCTATGATAACTTTAAATGAATAAACAAAGTTAATCATATCTATCTCTTTTGAGATACTCCATGAAGGGTATTAAAGGATATATAATATTTGCATTGATAAAACCTGGATCAGCCTTGGGGGTTCCTAGAGACTCAACCACCATCCAAAGAGCATATATGGGCTGGAGCTAGTCCCCCTACCCATGACACATATGTAGCTGATATGCAGCCTGGTTTTCATGCAGGTCCCCTGACAACTGGAGTCGGGGGCTGTCCTGACTCTGTTGCCTGTCTGTTCCCCAAACTGGGCTGCCTTGTCTTGCCTCAGTGGGAGAGGATATGTCTAGTCTTGCAGTGACTTGATGTGCCAGGGTCGGTTGGTACCCAGGGAGGGTTTCCCCCCTCTCCTCTGAGAAGGGGGAGGGCCTATGCGAGGGAGGGACTGTGAGGAAGGGGTATGCTCAGGAGGTAAATAAATGAATGAATGAAAAAACAAAAACCCTGGGTCTGCCACTTACTCCCTGTTTGTGTGGCTATGAACAAGTTACTCATGATCAAAGGCTTACTAGCTGCCTCATCTGTCCTCCAAGAACAGCCACAGTAGTTCCTGTCAAGGTTACACGAGATAATGCAGGCACAGGGTTTGCCACACAATGCATGCTCCCTCTGAGACCTGACAGCCACTATTACCACTTCATTCTCATTGTCTTCATCACTCTTTTTGAAATTAAGTTCAAATTTCTTCCTTGGCATCATACTTGACATAACTTCTAAAGCGTTCACAATGTCCTGGTAGGCCCTGCCTGCATGGAAACATCTCCTTTTCTTTCCAGTGCTCTTTGGGTGTGTGGCCAGATGAGATTTGAGCATACTGAGTGCATGCATCTGAGACTCTGCTCTTGCTATTTCTCCTTGTTGAAACACCTTGCCCAGCCTCAGTACCTGTGACTCCCTCACTACATTCAGGCCTCAGCCCATAGGCCACCTTCTATGACTGGTCTCACTAAAGAGAAGAACATCCATTGTCACCAGTCATTCCCAAGTCCTTCTTGTAGTCTCTGCTTTCTTGGTTCACTTTCCCCCCTTCTGTGTCTCTCCACCCAACAGTCTAGACTATTCCTTTACTCATCTGCCTATAATACTGCAGTACAATTACGCTCCATGAGAATAGTGACTTCATAACTCTAAATGTGGAATTGTGTTTATATATATTTATATCTGTCACAAAGTACTTAATAAGAAAGATACTCGCTTTCCTAAGCAAACAACTGAATATTTAGAGTATAAACATAAGTTAGGTATTGTGGGATAATGTGGTATGTCACCTCTGTATACATTGTTTCAAGTAATAAAACTGCACCAATATTAAATGATCCCCTTTGATAAATGCATCATTTTAGGAGAAACAAGTGCTTTCTAGGTGTTTGGGATCTACTAGAAAGCAGAGCTGCATCTCTATAAAACTTTCAATTTAGTTAGGGAAGAAATGTGCTAAACCTGAGGTGACAGGAGGACCCACTAGTAATTAATTTTTGGTAAGTGGAAGCAGCAGATTTCCAGAGCACAGACAATGCCCACAAAGGTTGTCTTTGTGAGTTGCTGAATTAATCTAGATGCTCAAAGTTGGAATAGTGTACTACTGTGTCTTTCCTTTGCTATTTGACTCTCCAGATAGCTCCAATAGAATTTTTCTGTGCATTATTCTGATTCTCTGCCAATCAGGTGCTGAGAACTAACCTGAATCGCTCAGGCTCCAAGTCCCCCTCAAATGTGAAAAAAATGAATGATTTGTTTATGCCCAGTGATTTTCAAACTACGGAAATGGCTAAACAGAAGGAACTTTCTTTCCCTTGAGCATGAGCTGTCTTCCTGGAGCACCTATGCTGTTCTGTCATTGGATAGTTTCCAACTGGCCATGTCCATGATGTGGCAAGTCAGCTACTGCCAAGCTGTCACTACACTCAGTGACAAGAAATAGTATATACACACTGAGCAAAGCAATAGGTAAGACCTTCGATATTGCCGTGAATATGGTGATTTAAAAAGAAACAACATCTGCAAATGAAAACCTAGGTAAGTGAGAGGCAATGAACTGTAAAGAATTTCTGAGAGTTTGAGAGAAAGGGTTTTAAGGAAAGTGACAGTAACTAGAAGCTTTCATTTCCAAATTAAGGGGCCACGTACAGACAGAACAGGATATATTATGAAGTAGATACCTACCAGCCTTACATATTTCACCACCTCAATGAGTGGCATTTTCGGCTGTGCCACTGACACATTTTAAGTGATCGAATGCTCCATTTAAGCCCAAGTCAAATACGTTATTTAGAAAGGAAATATTTAAAGACTTTACTCACAAACTCAGAAACTCAAATTCTAACATCATTAACAATGAAAGCAATTTTGAGCCAAGTGTAAGAATCCCACTGTTCTCAAATGCCACCCTCCATTTCTCAGTACTGGACCTAAAGTCCTGGAGTGGGTGAATGGGAAATGAAAAGGAACGGAAGGCTCTGCTCTATTCAAGAGATAGGTGATTGTTGGGAGCCAACTCCTAGCCGAAAGTGGCTATCATCTATGCAGCC